TGCCCTGGGGTGTTATTTGAAATACACTTTCTCAGTCCTCACCTAGACATGCTGAAACTCTGGGGTGGCACCCAGCAAACCAGTTTTTAAGAAACCCTTCAGGTGAGTCTAATGCATGGTCAGATTGAAAATGGCTGTCTAAAGGCACTCCCGATTTTTCATTAACTACTTGGCATATTACCAAGTCCCCTGGCCCTAGATTCACGATTGCTCCTAACTTTGCTGACACCTTTTTCTCACCTAAGTTTGCAAGGACTGATTTCCTACTCAAATGAATCAGTACTTTCTAAACTTCTCTAGGGATTCTGGGCTGCTCTGATGTATCATTTTATTTCCCAGGTAGAACAGGAGGGGACCTCTCTGCTCTATCCTCACCTTGCTAGTTTTAAATCCAATCCTTTGAGGGAAGCTCTGAAATTCGAGGGAAGAAGACCAGTCTCCCCAGTCAACTTGCCCCTTAATATAATCAAGGCTCCTAGTAGAATTTTCAAAATGGTCTTCTTCCCTCACAATTCACGGGTGTTGCCCCATAGCTGTTCTCTCTCTCCTCCTCCTCCTCCTTTATCTTCCTGTCCTTTTCCCCTACACCCTCCAATACATGCCACTCAAAGTGAGGAATCATGTCAGGATCTTCTCAAGTTCCAGTGATAGTAAGATAAATAATATGAGCAAATGAATAGGCATTCTGCCGTGTGCTCTGCTTTTTCTTTCTCATGTGCATTCCTGGAATGTAGATACTATATTCTCATTTCTATTACCCACATAAGAAACAAAAGCTCTGGGGCACCTGGATGGCTCAGTTGGTTAAGCGACTGCCTGGAGTCCCAGGATCAAGTCCCACATCGGGCTCCCTGCTCAGCGGTAAGTCTGCTTCTCCCTCTGACCCTCCCCGCTTTCATGTGCTCTCTCTCTCTCTCTCAAATAAATAAAAAATTTTAAAAAAAGAAACAAAAGCTCTGGACGCCTGGGTGGCTCAGTTGGTTAAGCATCTGTCTTTGGCTCAGGTCATGATCCCAGGGTCCTAGGATTAAGTCCCGCGTCAGGCTCCTTGCTCAGTGGGGAGCCTGCTTCTCCCTCTGCCTGCTGTTCCCCCTGCTTGTGCTTTCTTTCTGTGTCTCTGACAAATAAATAAATAAAATCTTAAAAAAAAGCTCAAGCGTGTTCATGGATTTCCTTCATTGGCTTTGATTGGATTGAATCCAACAGATGGGCTCATTCTACACCATGCTTTAGAAACTTCTACAGCAACAGTTTTCCAAGTGTGGGCCCCCACTCCACCCAGCTGTATCAGCATTACCTGGGAATTTGTTAGAAATGCAAATACTAAGACCCCACCACAGACCTAGTCAACTGGAAATTCTTGGGTAGGAAACAGAGATCTGTGTGGGGTTTTTTTTAATTGAAGTATAGTCAACCTACAATATTACATTGGTTTCAGGTGTATGACATAGTGATTTGACAATTATATACATTAAAAAATGCTCACCATGGTAAATACAGTCACCATCTTTCGCCATGCAAAGTTATTACAATATTATTGACTATAATCCCTATGCTGTACTTCTCATCCTTGTGACTTACTTCTTTTATAAATGGAAGTTCATACTTCGTAATCCCCTTTGCCTATTTCTTTTTTTTTTTTTAATATTTATTTATTTAGAGAGAGTGCATGCGAGTGTGGGGAGGCACAAAGGGAGAGGGAGAGAGAGAATCTCAAGCAGACTCCCTGCTGAGTGCAGAGCCTGACTCGGGCTCAATCCATGACCCTGAGATCATAACCTGAGCCAAAACCAAGAGTTGGATGCTTAACTGACTGCACCACCCATGCACTCCTCCCCTTTGCCTATTTCATCCATCTGCCGGGGTTGTGTTCCCCAAGAACATCCATGAAGTGTGAGAAATGAGGGGCAATTGATTTCTCAAAGCACCATGAAGGACAGGAGCATAATAAAGCAAATCAGAAAAACTTTCTTCAACATTTTTTATTAATTTATTTTTAATCATAGTAATTTAATTAATTATTCAATCATAGTAAAGTATACATGACATAAAAGGTACCATTTTAACCATTTTTCAGTGTCCAATTCAGTAGTATTAAGTATATCCACATTGTTGTACAGCCATCCCCTCCATCCATTTCCAGAAGTTCTTTTAACTTGCAAAACTGAAACTCTGTCCCCCTTAAACACTAACTCTCCATCCCCTTCTCCCAGCCCCATCACCCATAATTCCACTTTCTGTCTCTATAACTGTGACTCCTCTGGGAACCTCATAGAGGTGGAATCATATAGTATTTATCTTTTTGAGACTGGCTTATTTCACTTAACATAATGTCCTCAAGGTTCATCCATGTTGTAGCAGGTATCAGAATGTCATCCCTTTCCAACCCCGAATAGTATTTAATATTCCATTGTATAGATACACCACATTTTGTTTATCCATTCATTTGTCAGTGGACACTTGGATTGCTCCCATATTTTGGCTATTGTGAATAATGCTCCTATGAACATGGGTGAACAAATATATCTTTGAGACCCTCATTTCAATTCTTTTGAGGATATACTCAGATGAGGAATTGCTGAAACATATGGCAATTCTATTTTTAATATTTTTTATGAAACCCTTCAACATTTTAACACAGAAGAATTATAAAGACTCTTTCTCTTTTGTGAATTTTAAAATTTTCCAAATGTATAACCTCCATTCATGTTTCTGCAATAGTGACTATTGAGAAAGGTAACAATCTGTGTGTCAGGAAATCGAGGGGAAAGGGAATATCCTAAACCAAGCTCAACATTTTCTCTTCCATAAAGACTACTACATTGCTCCTTGGCCTTTGGCTTATTAACCAGAATAGTAACAACAGCAATAATTATAGCCAATATGCCTAGAGTATTCACTATGTCCCTAGCACTGAGACCTTTTCTTGTTTAATGCATATAGCATCTTACTCATTTGAAGGACATAAATGTCCTTTGAGCTGTGCTCAACTTCTCTCTTCCATGAGTAAACTAATGTCCTCCCACCCTTGCTTTATAAACCATCCTGTGGGTTGCGATTCTATCATGTGGCCTGGATGTTAGCATTGGCTGGTTCAACAGTTCTCTCCCCCACTTAGGCCAGTATGAGGGCCGAGGAAAAAAATGCTCACTTACCCGCTTTGTTCTCTCAAGACTCCATGTATTCCATCCTCCCTCCACTTCTGCTATGAATATGTATCCTTCCTAAGATAGTTTGGTTTTGGTTAAAGCAGGAAATGATACATTTTTATCAATAATGTATTTGTATACCAGCTCCTAGAATTATTCACTTTTCAAGATTTCTTGACTCAACCATGATGTGGAGTGTCACTTTTATGAGGTGGCAATTGCTGAGAGTACATCATCTCATATGTAATTATTACAGGGGCCAGATAATGAAGGGACTTGAATGCCACTGAGGACTTGGTAGTTTCATGGGTAGAATGCCATTGAAGGATCCTACAAGGATGTACTGGACCTTTGCTGGCACCCGTGGGAAGACTACTCTGTAAAGATGCACAAAATCAATGCACTAAAGAGTACTTGGAAGGTGGGGGATAATTACAAAACCATTGCTATTTGGACATATCCTAGAGGGTGGCTATTAAGAAAAAATTGGGTCAAAAAAATATGCTATATGGGCACCTGGTGGAGCATGCAACCTTTGATCTTGGGTTTGTGGGTTTGAGCCCCACATTGGGAGTAGAGATCACTTAAAAATAAAATCTTTTTTTAAAAAAGAAATATGCTATAAAATCACTTTCTCAGTTTCTAGACATGGCCCATATATCTGGCTCTAAGCTTACTAGCAGAAAGAAAAGAAAGAAAGAAAGAAAGAAAGAAAGAAAGAAAGAAAGAAAGAAAGAAAGAAAGAAAGAAAGAAAGAAAGAAAGAAAGAAAGAAAGAAAGAAAAAGGAAGGAAGGAAAGAAGGAAGAGAAAGAGAAAGAGAGAGAAAGAGAGAGAGGAAGGAAGGAAGAGACGGAGAAAAGGGAAAAGAAAGAAATGTGATTATTAGAGAAAATAACCAGTTGTTCATAAAAAGCATTAGCTGTTCTTGTTTTAAGGAACAGACAAGAATTTCCCCTCTGGATGTGACATTTCTTCAACAAACACAAGAGAGAGACTCATTCAACCTTTTCTTAGAATATCTCTCATTCACTGTAGGCTGATGACAAATGACAAATCACAAGTCCAGCAAAAGCAATTCCTTTGAAACACAAGTCCTAATAGAATGATTTGATGTAATGGTAAGATACAGAATATTTCAAGAAATGGGTTAATAGTGTTATTTCTCACACGGAGGCAGTAGAGAATGTCAGATTATAATTTCCAGGATTACCTGAGATTTGCAATTATGAGCAGACCCAGTACAGAGTTAATTACACAATTAAAATTTTCTGAGAAAGTAGTCATCTAACAAAGTTTAATAGTTTGAAGAAACTACTAGAATTTAACCCTAGATTTTAAAATGGCATGCAGGCATGATAGTTCCTAAAAATAAATACATACATACATACATACATACATACATACATAAAAAATAAACAGCACTTGTTTTCATTCTTAATTTTAGCATTAGAAAAATGGGTGATACATAGAAGTCACTCAAAATTTACTTGGAGTAAAGGAATCTGATGGGAAGAATTGTGTAAATATTACAAGATTTTAAAGCAATAGATAAAAGACTTCTTTCTGGACGCCTGGGTGGCTCAGTTGTTAAGCGTCTGCCTTCGGCTCAGATCATGATCCCAGGGTCCTGGGATCGAGTCCCACGTCGGGCTCCCTGCTCGGCAAGAAGCCTGCTTCTCCCTCTCCCATTCCCCCTGCTTGTGTTACTGCTCTCGCTATCTCTCTCTCTGTCAAATAAATAAATAAAATCTTAAAAAAAAAAAAAAAGACTTCTTTCCAACAAGGGATGTCTGTGTGTCTGTTTCACTGTAACTAACTCATGTCTCTAACTCAGCAGACACATCAACAACATGGAATCCGAAAACCAGACAGCAGTATCAGAATTCATCCTCCTGGGTCTCTTGGAGGATCCAGAATGGCTGCCTCTTCTCTTTGGGCTGTTTCTGACCATGTACCTGGTCACCATGCTGGGGAACTTGCTCATCATCCTGGCAGTCGGGTCTGACTCCCACCTCCACACCCCCATGTACTTCTTCCTCTTCAACCCGTCCCTTGTAGACATCTGTTTCAGCACCACTATCGTCCCCAAGATGCTGGTGAACATCCAGACAGAGAGCAAAGCCATCACCTATGAGGGCTGCCTCGCTCAGGTGTATTTTTTCATGGTTTTTCTATGTATGGACAATTTCCTGCTAATGGTGATGGCTTATGACCACTATGTGGCCATCTGCCATCCTCTGTATTACGTGGTCATCATGAACCCCCGCCTCTGTGGCCTGCTGCTTCTTCTCTCCTTGCTCATTAGAACGCCCTGTTCCACAGTCTGATGGGGTTGCAACCGTCCTTCTGCACAGACTTGAAAATCTCCCACTTCTTCTGTGAGCTTGCTCAGATCCTCAAACTTGCCTGTTCTGATACTCTTATCAATAACATTCTGGTGTATTTAGTGACCAGCCTGCTGGGGGTTGGTCCACTCTCAGGGAGAATTTTCTCTTACACTCGAATTGTCTCCTCCATCCTGAGAATCCCATCAACTGGTGGAAAGTTCAAAGCCTTTTCCACCTGTGGGTCTCACCTGTCCGTTGTTTTCTTATTCTATGGGACTTATGTTGGAGTCTACCTTAGTTCTGCAGCTTCCCTTTCCTCCAGGAGGAGAGCAGTAGCCTCAGTGATGTACACGGTGGTCACTCCCATGATGAACCCCTTCATCTGCAGCCTGAGGAACAGGGACATGAAGTGAGCCTTGAGGAAACTTGTCTCTGGAACATCTTCCTTTTCAGGATTCTGTTGTCTGCCTTGGGTATAGGCTTCTGCAATGACTGAAAGGGAATGAAATACTGGGTATGCTAGAAATCCTGACTCCTCCCTAATTCAAGTCTAAGAAAGTGGTTAATCATGGCTTTCAAGTCAAATAGCTTTTGTATTAAGTCCTACTGTCCTGTGTTTTAGTACCTGTCATTCATTAACTAACTTAACTCTGAGTTCACTTCAACATCTATAAAATGGGCAGAGTAATATTACACTTGATTATTAAATCAATGCTATCTTAGGTTTGAAGCTAAATTTCTGTAGTAAGCAGGCTCTATGGAGGGAGCAGTGTTTTTAAGCAGAACTTACTTTCTGGGGTGTGTTCTGTGTTCTCTCTGAGAGTGGCATGGGGAGAATATTTTTGTAGATGGAAGGCTGGCTTTTGTCTCTATGGAAAAATATTTGGTCTTTGTCCCCAGTTCCTGGCACAGAACTCCTTGGGATCTCCTGAGTGATAAGAGTATCATACCATGCCTTGGTATGCTAATGAGACAACTCTTGGCTCAGGGACTCCTAGATAGCTTCAGGGCTAGTTGCCAGAAAGACCAAGCAGTGATTAGAAAATGGGAACTTTTAGCCCCGCCCCAAACCCCCATCCTCCAGGTGTTGGAGGTTGAACCAATCACCAATGACCAATGATTCAATCAATCCAACCTATGTAATGAAACCCCCATTAAAAAAAAACTAGGGGTGCCTGGGTGGCTCAGTTGGTTAAGCGACTGCCTTCGGCTCAGGTCATGATCCCGGAGTCCTGGGATCGAGCCCCGCGTCGGGCTCCCTGCTCAGCGGGGAGTCTGCTTTTCCCTCTCCCTCTGCCTGCCTCTCTGCCTACTTGTGCTCTCTATCTGTCAAATAAATAAATAAAATCTTTAAAAAAAAAAATTATAAAAAAAATAAAATAAATTAAAAAAAAAAAACTAAAAAGACAGGGTTCAGAGAGCTTCGGGGTTGGTGAACAAGAACACATCCATGTTCCAGGAGGGTGGAGCAGCCCAGACTCCCCAGAGACAGCAGCTCCTGTGCTCAGGACCCTTCTGGACCTGGCCCTACATACCTCTTCATCTAGCTGTTCATTCTTATCCTTTGTTAAAAAGGGGGGGGGGGGGCAGTAATCTACTTAGTAACTTGTTTTCCTGAATTCTGTGAACTGCTCTAGAAAATTCATTGAAGCTGAGGAGAGGGCCAAGGGAACCCCTCTTATTTATAGTCAGTCAGTCAGAAGCACAGGAGACAATCTGGACTTGCAATTGGTTTCTGAAGTGGGACAGGGGCGGTCTTGTGGGACTGAACCCTTAACCTGTGGGATCTGACACTATATCCAGGTAGATAGTATCAGAACTAAGTTGAATTGCAGGACACCCAGCTGGTAGCCAGAGAATGTGAGAATCATTTAGTGTGAGGGAACACACAGAAGCACATTTGGAGGCCAGAGGTATCAGAAATAGTTTTAAATGTTGTGTGAGGTTAAAGGAGAGATGCACAGGGGGAAGTGAGATTTTCTTTAGACCCACAAAGCCTAAAATATTTACTATATGGCCCATTATAGAAAAAGTTCGCTTCCTGCCCTTTTCTGGTTCTCAGGCCCTTGCTTCTGAATTTTTATGACTGAAATTCGACAACCTCCATATAAAAATCCTACAAGTTTGGGGCGCCTGGGTGGCTCAGTCGTTAAGCGTCTGCCTTCGGCTCAGGTCACGATCCCGGGGTCCTGGGATCGAGCCCCGCATCGGGCTCCCTGCTCGGTGGGAAGCCTGCTTCTCCCTCTCCCACCCCCCTGCTTGTGTCCCCTCTCTCGCTGTGTGTCTCTCTCTGTCAAATAAATAAATAAAAATTTTAAAAAAATCCTACAAGTTTGAGCTGCTGTGTTTCAGATGCAAGTTAACAAACACATAGATAATGATCAGTAACTCCAAGGAAAATCAAGATGCACTTCAAGGGCGCCTGGGTGGCTCAGATGGTTAAGCGTCTGCCTTCGGCTCAGGTCATGATCCCAGGGTCCTGGGATCGAGTCCCACATCGGGCTCCCTGCTCCTTGGGAGCCTGCTTCTCCCTCTGCCTCTCTCTCTCTCTCTGTCTCTCATGAATAAATAAATAAAATCTTTAAAAAAAAAAAAAAGATGCACTTCAAAGTCCTCAGATCCTGTTTGTTTTCTGCGTCTCAGAAGAAGTATAAGTTTTCTGACACGGTTGCCCAGCATGTAAAGCCCTGGTTCTCCAAGGAGAGACGGGCAGTGATATGGGAGTGGCCTGAACATTGGGGGGTGTTTAGCTGCATCCTCGCTTCCACCACTAGATGCCAGTAGCACCCCACCCAAACTCAGCTATGACATCCGATCATTCTTCACTGAGAACCCCTGCTCAAAAAAAAGAAGAAAAAATTAATTGAAGACAGGTAAGGCATCTGAGAGAAAACCAGTTATTTACGTCCATGGTTCAAACATCAATGTGCACAGGAGAATGACAATATTCAACTTCACCTTTGCTGCCAGAAAACCCAAAGGAGAGGGAGAGGAAGAAGCAGACTCTCCAATGAGCGAGGAACCCAACATGGGGCTCAATCCCAGGACCCCAAGGTCATGACCTGAGCTGAAGGTAGACACTCAGCCAACTGAGCCACCCAGGCACCCCATGGGAGAGATTTGAGCAGAGGACTGATATCATCCAATTTAAGCTTTCAAAGGATTGCTCTGATGGTTGGGTTCAGTATGGATAAGGGCTTCTTATCCACAGGCAGACCAGACAGGAGATAGTACAATCTGGTAGAGTTGAAGGAGGCTTGAACCAAAAAGATAGTAGTGTAGATGGTGAGAACTGGGCTGATTCTGGGTATATTTTTTAAGTAGACCATCGATATTTGCTGAGGTTTGAGGTGTGAGAGAAAGAAAGGAGTCAAGGACTCAAAAGTTTTTTGACTTGAATTGTTTGTTAAGAGTTGCCATTTTCGGGCGCCTGGGTGGCTCAGTTGTTAAGCATCTGCCTTCGGCTCAGGTCATGATCCCAGTGTCCTGGGATCGAGCCCCCGCATCGAGCCCCCGCATCGAGCCCCCGCATCGAGCCCCCGCATCGGGCTCCCTGCTCAGCGGGAAGCCTGCTTCTCCCTCTCCCACTCCCCCTGCTTGTGTTCCCTCTCTCGCTGTTTCTCTCTCTGTCAAATAAATAAATAAAATCTTGTTTTAAAAAAAAGAGTTGCCATTTTCTGAGATGAGGAAATTGTGGAGCTTAGGGGCTGGGAGTGGAGTTAGTTAAAATTTTTTACTGAACTATAGTATACATATAACTGGATGAGTTTTCACAAACTGGTCACACCCACGTTATCAGCATCCATCCAGATCAAGAACTAGAACTCTATCAGCATCCAGGAAGCCGTCTGTTTCCCTAGCAATCAAGGTCTCCCAGCCCCCTGGGTCCCTGGGTAATCACCGTCTGATATCTAACAGTACACATTGCTTGTTTTGTACTTTGTGTATCAGGGAAATACACTATGTCCTCATTTGTGTCTGGCTTTTTTACCCAACTCATTATGTTTGTGGTAGTCATCCAGAATGTTACATATAGTGACACTGTTCATTAGTGGTGTGTGAATATGTTACAATTTATTCATTCTTCTGTTAATGGGCACTTGTATAGTTTCCAAATTTTGGCTACTAATAGCCAAAATTTGGAAACTGTGTGAATATTTTTGCACCTGTCTTTTGTTGAGAAGTGAATATTTTTGCTGCTGTGACTATCTTTGCACCTGTCTTGAGAAGTGGAATTTCTAGGTTATAGGATATGCATTTGTACAGCTGTAGTAGATTCCACTAGTTTTCCAATATGACTAGACCAAACTGCCCTCCCATCAGCAACGTGAGTTCTACTTCTTCCATATCCTCACTAACGCTTAGTATTTTCAGTCTTCTTATACCCATTCTGTTGAGGGAGTAGTGGTATCTCATTGCGGCAACCTACTTAGCACTTCCCTAACAAAGTCAAGAATCTTTTCCTACATTTATTGGCCATTCGGATATCCTGTTTTGTGATGTGTCCAGATTTTGGTGGTTTTTTTTTTTTGCCTATTTTTAAATTGAGTTGACTTTTTCTTGTCAATTTGTAAAAGTTCTTTACATAGTCTACATACCAATTATTTTGTAGATATATGTTTTTCTTCCACTTCATGGGTTGCTTTTTCACTATCAATGATGTCTTTTTTTTTTTTTTTTAAGTAGGCTCCATGTGGAGCCCAATGTGGGGCTTGAACTCACAACCCTGAGATCAAGACCTGAGCTAAGATCCAGAGTCAGACACTAAACCGACTGAGCCACCCAGGCACCCCAATGATTTTTTTTTATGTTCACCCAATCATGTCTTTTGATGAGCAGTTCTTAATTTTTTTTTTGAGCCGTTCTTCATTTTAATGCATTCCAGTTTATCAAATCTTTCTTTCCTTTGCCTCCTATTTAAGAAATATCTGCCTATTCCAAGATATGAAGTCACATTTTTCTCTATATTTTTTGTTTTACCTCTCACATTTATTTCTGCATTCGTTCTAGAATGATTTTGATTTTTATGTGTAGTATGAGAATGGATACAGCTTTACTGAAGAGATGGTCCCTTGCCCCACTGCAGTCATTGCCATCATACATTAGGTGGCGCTGTTCTCTTGCATCGTTCAGGTTTTTACTCTTGCATCAGTCCCAAAGGAGGGGTGGAAGGCTATTTACGCAAAATTCAAAAACCAGGAAAACTATCCTATGACGTGTAGGAGAGGGTGAAAAAATCTTCCCTTCTACCCTTCTAGGTTCTTGGTTGGGGTTCTGTAACAAAAGGCAGATTAACAAGGGAAAACATGCAAATGTATTTAAGTTTTACTTGGCACGGGACCCTTTATAAGGAAACGAAAACACAAAGTTGTTAACCTAGATATTTTTATGCTAGGTTTGATGAAGAGTAGAAAGTAGTGGGAAAATGTGATAGGACAATGGGATATGAGTTTAAGTGTAGTAAGCTGAGGGAAATTTAGCAATTCCTTTCATTTGGATTCCTCTCTGTGTCCCTCCACCTTCAGAGGTAAGGATGCTTCTTTCCTTTGGGTATAGAAAAGACATCTATCACATGAGCATCTTATGGCCTGCTTCAGGGGAAGGTAAGAGTCCTTCCTGAACCTACCATTTCTCAAATTCCTTCAACTTAACATATTCAATATGCTAATGTGCCATATTTTAGGGCAGCTGTATTCTGAACCCTGCCAGATGTTAAAATAATTCATAATAAGGTTTTTCTTGGAGGATGAGGGGTTGTAGTGACCAGGAGAACCATGAAAGAGGCTTCCGGGTTTCTGGTAATTTTCTTTTTAAAAACCTGGGTAGCAAAAAAATTAAAAAGTAAAAAATAAATAAAAACAAAATAAAAAATAAAAAACTGAGTAGCGATTGCATGGGCATGTACCCTTTGTGGACATTTTGATGATTTGTGCATAGATGTGTTCACTTTTAAAATTTATTCACAGACTCTCTGCATGTTTGTTATATTTCAACAAACAATTTTAAAAATAAATATATAAAAGTCCACTTTATCTCTTTCCAGCTTCTCTAGGCAGTGTGAATGACTGACTAAAAGCCATTTACAGAAATAGGGGGATGCTCACCAGTATAAACTCATCAATTGTGAAGACTAATAAAAGGAAATCTCATCAGAATGGAGTCTGGAAGGTGAGGAACGGGGGGGGGGGGGGGGCGGGCGGTTGCTCTCAGCACCACTGGTTGCCAATTGCAGACCAAACTGGAAGACAGGCACCTTGCAAGTTTACTACCCCAGCAAGAGGATGAAATGTTTTTGCCTCTCTTGGCAACAGCCCAGCCAATGAGAGACTGTCACCATTCAGCCAATGAAAAGCCACTATACTTCAATCTACCAGTTTATTCCAACAGACTTTTTGTTTATGACAGCCTTCTCAACTCCTGCTTTCTTTTATCAAAGAGCATTCGTCTCCTTTGTTCTGTGGACTCCTTAGCTTGCTTGTCCTGGGTTGCAATTCTCTGCTATTCCCACATAAATCTTTTTATTTATTTATTTTGCTGGCAAAATAACTGGCAGTTTCATTTTTAAGGTTAACATAATATTTTACCTCTCTACAATAAGCATATCTTTATATAGAAATACAATGTGCATGAAGTTTTTCCAACCTTCAGAGTACTATTCTCCCTAACAGCTTCCCACTGAGGAGTATTGCAGAATTTTCCTACTCTTAATTTTGAAGGGTTAACTGAGTGATATTTTTCCCATGAGTGATATTTTTCCCTTTCATTCATTCCACCAATTAATCCTTGTGAGTTTACTGGGATTCAGCATTGATTACACAAACTCTGATCCTGACTCAGCATTGTTTACTAATTTTAAATACTCAATTTCTGTTTTTATGCCCCCCAGGTCCTGCCTGAGTCCTAACTCAATCTTTTCCCTCTTTTCCTCCTCTGTACTGGCTCCAGATCTTTAAGATGTGACCCTTTCCCCTCTCTGGAGTTTCCCCAGTCTTGACCCCAAGCACCCACTGCCCTAGGTCTTTCCATTTTTGCTCACCTCTCTGCAGGGGGCTTGTTCTGTCCCCTTCTTGTCCCTGTAAAGAGTAATCAGAATTACTTACTTTTCTCGTTTGAGTCTCACAACAATTGAGGAGGCAGCTCATTTATACAAAAGGGACAGGCTATAAGCAACATATTGAAGTTGCCTGTCTTGGTGGAGTTGGAATTAGAACTCGTGCTAGGAAGGAGGAGTGGATGGCTCTTGCATTCCTCCTGTGCTCACCTTGCCCAGATAAACGCCTGCACTTGGAAGCTGGGCCTCCTAACCTTCTGGCTGAGGTATTGTAAAAGAGGACCACAAAACGCTGACCCGGATTTTTCCAAGCCCCGCCACAACCTCTCTTGACTCAGGAGCAAGGAAAACATTTTTTTTGGCAAAGTGATCAGACACTCTGGGTTGACGGTCAAGGTAGAACTGAATATTCCCTCGTGGATAGATGCGACAAACCAAAGGGTTGAGCGTGTCGTCAAGCTTTACAGTGGACAAGTGCAAGGATGGGGTTGCTATTACTTGAGGTTGAGAGGGTGAAGTCAGTTGTTTGATTTGTGGCATCTTAAAGTGTCTATAAAACAGCCAAGTGGAGAGAGCAAGTCTCATACCACCTGGAATCCAGGGTAGACCTGTGGGGCTGTGGATGGAAATGTGAGCCTTGAGTGCATAAACAATACTTAAAACGGTGAGATTCGCAGCTACCACAGAGAGAACGACGAGAAGACGAAAAGAAACCTGACAACTGAGTCCTGGGGCACTGGAACAATTGGAAGTCGGGAAATGGGGCTTGCCAGACTCCACCTGGGAGCCACCGCCACGACCGTCTAAACTCGAGAACTACATTTCCCAGAATCCTTTCCGCCCCATGCTTCCGAGTTAGAGGCCGCCTGTGAAGTCCCGCGAGATTTAGAAGGCGGAAGTGAAGCGGAAGCCATTGCTCCCGGGAGGCGATTGCGGTTATACACATGGGCAGGGGAGGGGTGCGGCTTCCTCCGGAGTGTTGGGGACCCTCCGCTTCCCCGCCGCAGACCGGACCTGCTGTATGAATTTGGTGTCCCTTCAGCGCCAGCTTCCGTGACCTCCATTGCACCTGATTCTACCCTCAGCCTTGTAAGCCCTGCTTTCCTCACTTAACCCTTTACCCTCGGTCTTCCCGAGGACACGAAAGGCCCACAGGCAGGGAGGAGTAAGTGGGGACAGGGACCTGGGACCGGGAAGCCAGGCAGCCAGGCGAGGAGTGTGCTTTAGACTCTGTGACGGGCGATATGAAACGCTGGTACGCGAGGAGTGAAGTTTAGGACAAGGGGGAGGCAGTGGTGATCTGGTTTTAAAAAAAGGACTCTTGGGGTGTGGAGGGGAAAGCCCGGCCGAGGTGAATTCAGGACATGTGGGTCAGGAATGGGAGACGGCGAGGACAGTACCTTTGCTCTGCGGTCCATTTTCTCCAGCATCAATGGCGGGACACTGGCTTTCTTTTAACCTTTGTATTGAATGTTAAATTTTATGTTGCAAGTGTTCGGTACACTTACCTGTTAGTTTAGTTGACTCATGTAAACAGCCTATAACTAGATTTGAAAGCTCACTTCAACATTCTGTTAATGTAACTTGAGAGTTAGTCCATTCATATTTATTGTGATTACTAAAATTTTGCGGCTTTTACCATCTTACCGTGCTTGGCTCTTTATCCTTTAACTTTCAAGTATTTTTTTTTTTTTTAAGATTTTATTTATTTGAGAGAATGAGAGAGAGAGAGAGCATGAGAGGGGGAGGGTCAGAGGGAGAAGCAGGCTCCCTGCCGAGCAGGGAGCCCAATGCGGGACTCGATCCCGGGACTCCAGGATCATGACCTGAGCCAAAGGCAGTTGCCTAACCAACTGAGCCACCCAGGTGCCCCTCAAGTATTTTTTAATTGGAATGTAAAACATATGCCAAAAAAGATACGGAAACACACACGCATTCTCTTTGCAAAGAAAGTATGGAAACACGCTCTTAAAAGGACAGCAATAAAGGGAATCTACAAACGAGGCCCAGAAAGATACTACGAAACCGCTAGAGCCTATGGTCTTTCCTGCATCCTCCTCTTTCCCCGTGATTTCCTTTATGGATTTTACTGCTTATATGTTTTTCCAAAAATGCATATCCTAGTTTGGGTAATTATTTGTGAATGGACTCACACTCTTAAGTACTTTCAGAGACATCCTTTTTTTCCATTAATGCAAGTACACTTTGATATTTAGAGATTTCTAAATATCTTGTCGTTGAAGTACATACACTTAGCCATTCTTTTTGAGGCACTTCATGGCTTAAATTTTAGAGTCAGTTTACAAAGTTCCACCTACTGGAGTTTTATTTTGAAGTTGTGTTGAATCTGTGTATGAACTTGGATAATATTGGCATAATTCCGTTGTGTCTTATCATTAATATTATGTCTGTGTACTTACATATTCTGTAATGCCTTTGAGTAAAGTTTTAAAGGATTTAGGGTGTTGTTTTGTTTTTTTAAGACTTTATTTATTTGAGAGAGAGCGTGCCCACAAGTGGGGGGAGGGGCAGAGGGAGAGGGAGAAGACAACTCGGGGCTGAGCAGGGGGCCCCGAAGATGACTTGAGCCCAGGACCTCAGGATCATGACCTGAGCCAAAGGCGGACGCTTAACCGACTGAGCCACCTTGGTGCCCCTAGGGGTGTGTGTGTGTGTGTGTGTGTGTGTGTGTGTGTGTGTGAGAGAGAGAGAGAGAGAGAGTTTTGAGAGTTTTGTTGTTAGATTTATTCCTAGGAACTTTTTTTTTAGCGCTTAGGAATTTTTTTTCCCCAACGGCTTGGTGTGTTGAATTTGGGTTCGTTTTTGTGTAGTGTTTTGAATGTTCTTCAAAGACCGTGTTATCTGTATAGAATAAATAGGTAAATTTTTTATTTTCCATTTGCATCGTTCGTGTTTTAATTTACTTACTTCACTGGACAGGCTGGGGACTCCTGGTAGCATTGAATGGAGTTTGGATAGCGAACTTTAGGCAGTCCTTTTTTTTTGTTTTCCTGACCTGGAGGGGAATTGACCTTATGTTTGCTGGAGGCTCTTTTTTTAAGATAGTAAAGGAAGCTCCCTTCTTTTCCTAGTTTAAGAGTTTTTCCTTTTGAACAGTTCAGGTTTGTTGTTTTTTTTTTTTAAGATTTTATTTATTTATTTGACAGAGAGAATGAGAGAGAGAGCACATGAGAGGGGGGAGGGTCAGAGGGAGAAGCAGACTCCCCGCCAAGCAGGGAGCCCGATGCGGGACTCGATCCCGGGACTCCAGGATCATGACCTGAGCCGAAGGCAGTCGCTTAACCAACTGAGCCACCCAGGCGCCCGAACAGTTCAGGTTTTTAACGAGTGATTTTTTTTTCCTTTCAGCATCTACTTTGATATGTTTATTTTGTGTATCTCAAGCTCTGTAAACAATGGCTGGCTTGTAGGTGCTACTACTGTTGTGCATTGAATGAATGAGCGAATAATATGCTTTTCTTGTTTATCTGACAATTGTTGCAAACTAAACCAATTGATTTTCTAATGATTCGTTACATTTGCTTTGGTAAATAACTAGAAAAAGATAGGCACTATTGTGTCATTTTTGGCTTCTGTCTGCTAGTGCGTTGGTTATTTGGATCTGTGTTTAAGTAAAATTGGCTTGCAGTCATCCTTTTCTGTTTCAAATTTATGCCAGCCTCATAAAATGGGGTGGGAATGTTCTCTCTGTTTTCTAAACTCTGGAATATTTTGCCTAAGAACAGAATCACTTTTTCCTTAAAAGGGAGCTGTGCCAGAAGAACCATTTAAGTCTGGAGTTTTCTTTGTGGAAATTTTTCGAGCTGTTGTTTCAGTTCCTTTAAGGGTCACAGTGATGTAAGAAAGGTGTTAGGGTTCGAAGCCAGTGGCCAAGAAAGAATTCTTGAGACGTCTTTGGTGCAAAGAGGTGGTTTTATTAAAGCACGGGGACAGGACCCCTGGACAGAAAGAGCTGCACTGGGGTCATGAGGAGTGGACCATGATATACTTTCAGGTTGGATAGCGTAAGCCTCCCAGGTATTTTGGAAACAAGGTTTCCAGGATCCTGAGGTGTCTACCTATTGTTAGGAAAAGGTCATTTATTATTGTTTAGTAAACCCCCAGTCATGAGACCCTTCAGATGTGTATTGGTGGGTCATATGCTTGGAGGATGATTGCCAACATGTATCTTGGGGGATAAAGGAGATAAAGGAAATTTCCAAAGGAATTTTTATATGTTGAAGTAGACTTAACAGGATCCTGGGGGTCGGGCCTGAGATTGCCTTTTGCCCTAAGCAAAGTATTAACATCAAGGCAGCTGAGTTCCTAGAGGAATGTCACTGCCTGTTTCAAGCACTTGTCAAGGGTCTGTAAATAGGAAGGAAATTTAATAATTTTTCTTCTGCCTTTGTTTCCCACATCAATTGGGCATCTAAGTTCTTTATTTCATTATGGTGAATAAAATTTCTTTAGGAACTTCATTCATTCCTTCTGAGGTTTAAATTGTATAGTCAAAGTTGTTAATAAAGTTCTTATTATATTGCTAATGTCTGTCACATCTGTATTGTAATCTGGTTTTTCATTCTTATATTTTCCTTTTTTAAAAAAATAAAATAAATCCTGCCAAAATTTTGTCAGTTTTGTTTTTTTTAGAGAACTTTTGGCTTGATTGAGCCACTTCACAATATGAATGTCTTCTTCTGTTTTATAACTCTGTTCTTTATAGTTTTCCTCCTTTTACTTTTTTGGGATGTCTCTTTCCAGTTTCTAACATTGGGCACCTGTCACATTCCAAAGAATGCGGTATCTTGTTATATTTCAGTTCTAAATATTGAATATTATGACTTCTTTGACATGTGAATTATTTAGGATTTTTTTTTTTTTCTTTACTGTCCATTCCTGTGACATTTTTCTGGTTATCTTTTGGGCATTGTTTGGTAATTTCCTGGCGCTGTTTTCAGAGAGAGATGCCATTTTCTGAGACACAATGTGCCTCTGTGGTTGGATTTTATAGTAGCCAGGGCATGTGATTTCATCTTGTTCAGTCTGCATGTAGTTATTGACTTGTCTGCTTGCACTGTATTTGTATTAGTGAGAGCTCTGGTGGTGGCTTTGTCCATTCTCCTCAGAGTTCTGTCCTTTTTTATTTTTTTCATGTGTTTGAGGATGTGAAAACATACATACAGCTTTTTCTTGAATTCAGTCTGGAATACCTCCGTTTTCTCTATGAACCTTTCTACCTTAATCCTTTCTGTCCGGTACTAACATTTAAACCGGCTTAAAAAAAAAAAAAAAGATTTTATTTATTTATTTATTTGACAGAGAGTGAGCACAAGCAGGGGGAGCAGCAGGGAGGGGCAGAAGCAGGCTCCCTGCTAAGCAGGGAGCCTGGTGCGGGGCTTGATCCCAGAACCCTGGGATCATGACCTGGCAAAAGAGACACTTAACCAGCTGAGCCACCCAGGCACCCTTTTCCGTACATTTTTTTCTTTTTTTTAAGATTTTAGTTAGTTAGTTATTTTAGAGAGGGCATGCAAGCAGTGGGAGGGAGAAGGACAAGCAGACTCCATGCTGAGTGTGGAGCCTGACACAGGGCTCCACTTGACCCCAGGACCCTGAGATCATGACCTGAGCTGAAATCTAGAGTCCGATGCTTAACCGACTGAGCCACCCAGGCACCCCTTTCTCCTTACTTTTTGGATTTATTTATGTATTTATTTACCCTGAAGAGGTTGGATTAGAAGGGCGGGCAGACATCTCCGTCCTTGTTTGTAATAGGAGTGGAGGAGAATATCAGAGATCAGTTTTGGGAGGAATTTTGGTAGAACTAGAGACCAAAAAATTAGAAATACTCCTTTTAACTTTTTAAGGTAAAGTATAATTTATATTGAAGACAATTTACAGATCTTAGATCCAGTTTGATGAATTTTTGGACAGTTGTGTACGTTGTGTAACCTCTAACTAAAAAAAACAAAATAAAAATATGAAGAATATTTCAGTTGCTCTAGAAAGTTCCTCTTCTCAGTCTCTTCATCTCATACTCTTCCACTGAGACAGCCACTTTTTTACTTCTATTGACTGAAATAAAC